AGAGAGAGAGAGAGAGAGAGAGAGACTGGCTGCCAGGTTATGTGTGTAGCACTTAGAATTTGTTTAGCCTCATCTAAATGTTTTCTTTTTCCTATTTTCTTTTCTACTTGAGTAGCTGTAACAGTACCGGTGTCTAAAATAGATATTAAATTAGCCTTACATCGAATGCGATGGACGTCAAATCTATAAAATGTTGAATCTCTTAAATCTAACAGGGATGGAGTACATCCTGTTAATTTGTCAAACTTCCAGAGAACCGCCTTCATGAGACAGTGAGGATTAATCAAGCCCCAGTGAGAGCGAATTTGAAAAATATAGTTTTCTAATTATACAGTCTCTTCTCAGTGGGCCAAGGTTAATGCAGTTCTGACAGTAATAGAAAAAAAGAAAGAAAGACCAAAGTGTATGAATTGTCTCATAATCACCTGAAACGGGCTCGATTCTGATCGCCGCGCTTTCTGTGCTTTTAATCTGGTGTTTTCAGCACTGGTTCTTTTCTTGTTCTATGATGTTGGGGAGTAATTAAGGGGTTCATGTCACTCTTTGTGCTCTTCAGATAGCTGCGTTATTGGGAGGCTTGAGTTTTTGCGTAGCTGTAGATAGGGATTTCTAGTTAATAATGGGAAAATTCGCCTTTTTTTTTTTTTTTGACCCTGTGGACTGCCTTATGAATACTTGTTAAGCATTGTGCATCTTAAGTTCTCTGTCCTGGCCTTGTGTGAGTATAAAAGTCTCATACGAGAACTGCCGGACAGAGCCAGTCATGGTTGGTTTTCAGACGCAGGCATGCTGTGGGCTTCGCTTCAGGTTTTAAGTAGTCCCGTACCACCAAGCAAGCAAGCAGCGCCTGATAACAAATTTATTTAACTGATTTCGTGGCTTCCTGGGTTTGGTTGTATGTTCCTGTAATCCCAGGACTCGGGCTGAAGAAAGGATTGCCTTGAGTTCAAGACCAGCTCAGGCTGCACGGTGAGTGCCAGTCCAGTTAGGACTATAGCAAGACAGTGCCTCAAGAAACAAAATACCACAGAGAGAGAGAGAGAGAGAGAGAGAGAGAGAGAGAGACAGCAGGGGCATGAGAGAGAAGGAAGGGTATTAGAGGCCAAGACTCAGATCAGGGAAAGGAGAGAGGAGGGAGAGGCCGTGTGTGGAGGGCGGGGAGTTAACGCAGGGAGTGGTTATGACTAACGAATGTTCTATGCGTGTATGACAAGGGCACAGTGAAACCTATTGTTCTGTATAATTAATATGCCCTACCCCCCCATTGGATAGAAGAAAACCCGAGGTTCTATCTGCATTACAATGAGACAGTTATTTTTAACATTAGACTAGCAGTTGTTGAAATGATTTCTTTTTGAGAAGGAAGTTAAAAGCCAAGCATCTGACCTCTGCTGAGTGAATGAGGACTGTGGACGTGTTGAAGGAGAAGGAAGCAGAGACGGGGAGGCCGCTACACAGCTCCGGGAGCTTGGCCGAGAAAGAAGCCCCTGTTTTGTTAGTGAGAACCTGCGTAGGGAATGGAGGAACGAACCAGGATGTTAGCAAGAAGCCGGAAGGCGCTGTACTTCATATTTTAAAAATTGCTTTTACTAATTATGATTATTATTATTATCATTATTATCATCTCTGGGGGTGTCTGTATGTGGGGTGTGTCTGGGTGTGTGTATGCACACAGGTGTGGGTGGTTATGGCTTACGTGTGACCGTCTGGGGACAGCCTTGGGTGTCCATCTGAAGATACTTTCCACCTCATTGGCCTGGATTTCAGCTCCATTGACTTGGACCTCAGCTACATAGGCCAGGCTAGGTGGCCAGAGGGCTTCTAGAGATCCGCTTGCCTCCCGGTCACTGTGCCCAACCTATGTGAATCCTTTATCAGCTGAACTGTTTCCCAGCTTGCTTTTATTTTATTCTTTTATTTTATTATTTTTAGTTTGAAATAAACCCTCCCAGGGCTGGTATTAATAGTGCAAACAGCACTCACCTTATTGAAAGCTCACAGGCCTTCTAACGCTGGGCAAGCTGGGCCTTGAGCCCTGAGCTGTTCCTGTTGGAAGCCAGTCTCCATTCTGTCTCCTAGGGAACATTTCCAAGCTGTGGGGAGAGATACCTGGACTTGTGGCCTTCCTATCAGGACTAGGACAAGACGGCGTGAAGCAAGCTTTCTGACTTGAAGCACCCTCAGGGGTCACCGGCTTTCAGTGCATGTGGATAGCTGAGAAATAGGCCCCAAGCATTCCGCTCCGGTGCGCACCAAGCAAACTGAGTGGACGGTTGTCAAGTTGGTCTGTTACCCCTCCTTAAGGACAGTGTGGGGCTCTAGGCCTGAGACCCAGCTGAGTGGCTCTTCACAGATGGATGAAGCCATGATACAGAGGCTGTGGAGACCCCCACCTGAGAGGCAGGGTCAAGTGTTAGGCTGGAAAGACACAAGGCCTGAATGAGGCCCTGAACGGAGCGAGTGTGGGAAGTTCCAAGGTGGGAGTGAGATGGGCAGGTCCAGGGCGAGGGTGTTCTCCCAGGTTGGGGAGTCTCTAGACCCCTTTAGTATTAGTCAGATAGGCCTCAGTAGGATGGGGTTCTGGGGAATAATGTGTTGTGGTTTCTAAAGTTAAAAGGGGTGCAGGACTGAACAAGAGCAGTTAGAGTAGGGTCTGTCGTCCCTCTCCTCAAAGCCCACGGTTTCCCTTTTGGTTGTCCCCTAATCATTGGACTTTGAAGATGTAAGCTTGCGGGTTGGGAGCTGGCCTGTGTGCCGACAGTCGTTCACGTTGCCCGGACGACCTCATCTTCTCTTAATAAACAACTTCCCATTTTTCATCCTGTGAGTTTCAAGAAGATAAAGGACGTCTCCTTAGAATCCTGTGTCTTGTTTCTGTAAGCTGCCCGTTTCCTGCCATGGCAGAGGGTACCCAAGGTGCCCTGTTTCTTAGGGTGATTTTCACCAATGAGCTTCAACTTCTAGTGATAAACTTTGTTCCAGACGCCCTCAGGAGAGTTAGACAAAAGGTAGTTGTCGTCACTTGGCAGTTCTTACAGAGGAGGACACTATAATACTGTGTAGTAGCAGATCAGAGTCTTGGAAGTTCTGAATGCTAACTCCGGCACCATTCCCAGAACCCTTCCCAGATGGGAAAGCCCACTTTTGATATCTGAGTAGAAGAGATTTTTTTTTTTTTTTGCTGTTTCCCAATGTCACCATCAATAATGGGAATCTGCATTTCCTCCTTTATTTACCCAATAAATACTTAACACCATTATGTTCCTGGCATGGTATTAGACCCTGGGGGAAGCGACAAAGAACTTAGAGGGCTGAGCTCTGCCCGCAAGGGGGGCATAAAAGAAACAATTATATCTAATTGTTTTTAACACTGAGCAGTGTTAATGCATCTATCCTGTCGTCTTGGTCACCAGGGGAGAAGGGGCCATGGATACCTCTTGAAGTCCACTGGCCATGTGGCCACTCCCACCCTTTCTGAGCTCTCTGCTTTTCTGTCTTCCCGTGGCCCTGGAGTTTATCAGGCAGTGACACTTAGGGGACAGGACTCAAGCCCCTCTGACCAGCCATTGCTCTCTGGTGGTCTGTGATTTGATGAATCATTGTTTCTTTAGTTGCCAGAGAACATTCCTTTTTCGCTCACGGCTGAGAACTCCTCCTCCATGGAATCAATTCCTAGTTTCAGGATGTTAGTATGCACAGACATTTCCTGAGAGAGCGCTCCCTTAGCTTCCCCGAAAAACATTGCCAGGAGACTGGTCCTTCATCCATAGATTCCCAATAAACGTGCCTGACTCTATGAGCAAAGGGTGATTGTAATGCCTGGAGTCGTGAGCCTAGGCCACTGTTCACTGACAGCCTCAGTGGTTGGAAGTTGCATGAGGAAGCTGTTGGCTGCAGGGGCGGGTAGAGGAGATCTTTGAAGGGACCCATGTTTATTTTCTAGGAGTTACATGCGGTCTGGACTCTGCACTCTGCGGGTGCTTGTTTTAGTATTGTGTGCACAGTATACGTTAGGGATCTCAGAGAATCCTGTAGAGCGGGGCTTCCCAAAGTTGTTTGCACCTTTGAGTCATCTGGGGGATCTCTTAAAAGTTTCCCCAGATGCTAGACCATCACTCTCCAGTATGGAACACATACTCAAGTGGGAGCTCCCCCTGGGGTAATGTTTGAGTAGTTGTCATAAGGAGCATGCCAAGGTAGTTAGAGCGCACACCCAGGTGGAAGGCCAGATGGGCAGCGGAGGGATTCAGAGCGATTTCTTTGCTGGAGTTTTCTTTATTTCACCCCTCTGATGAGGGGGTAGCAACAGCTAGCCTAACAGGGCAGGGAACTGTATCAGCTTTGGGAACATTGAGAGAAAGGAGGGTGCTTCTTTTGATGTTGAACTCGGGCAAGGACGCCTGTGTGATCCTCTGGAATCATTGGTGGGTGGATCTGTGTGTAGAGGGCTTGGCTGCTCATTGCCCTTAGGTGGACCAGGGAGTTTTTAAAATAGACAAATAGCTCATTATCCACTGGCCTTTTTTCTCTTTTCTTTTTCTTTTTTTTTCTTTTCCCCTGTGGGCTGAGCATGATGAGGGGACTCAGAATAGAAATTCTCAGCTTCACTTCTTGCTCTTGTGTTCTTATGCCCCCTGCCCTCTTAACAGCCGTGCTGAATACCCCCGTGTGTGCAGATCAACACACAAATGAGCCGTTTTATGTGGGCAGTTCAATACCCCAGGGTCTCGTGGAGCCGTGAGGTATCGCTCCGCTTAGGGTGGGTGGAGGTACTTGACCTCAGCCCCTCTTGGTGCTCTAGGTGCTTACAAGCCAAGGCCAGCTGCCGGAACAGCTTCCTCCCTGCTAATCACCACCCAGACAGACCACGGGGCCCTTCTTTGGTAGACCTGGTATTGCTGTTTCTAATCAATTCATTCTTTTTCTGGGCTGTTTCTGAAGTGGAGACAGAATGATCTTTCACGAGCTGCAGCCTAAGCCCTTCTCCTTCCCTTTCATAGTGTGCCACGCCGAGCTGAATGCCATCATGAACAAGAACTCGGCTGACGTGAAGGGATGTAGTATGTACGTCGCCTTGTTCCCATGTAATGAGTGCGCCAAGCTCATCATCCAGGCAGGTAGGAACCAGGCCTTTCCCATTTGTCACATTTGCATCGGAGCCTTGCTCCTCAGCAGCTCCGTGCAGGTGTGTTTGATCTCACGTTGTTATTGTTTAGATCTAAATTAATTGCACTATCAACTTTGCAGGATGTTTCCCGCGTTTTGTTTTTGAGTGCTGCCAGGTATTCTAAGACTAATTGCATCCTCTGTGATTCTTAGCATGTTTTTAATTTAGTTTGCAACTTCTTAAACTGCAAGCTGCCAAAAAAACAACACAGGCATTGCATGTAATTACTGTCAGTTTACCGTTCTCTGACATATTGTGCATAGATTGGGGGGGAGGGAGGGAAATGAACTTCTGTCAGGAACGAGGTCAGCTGGGAGTCTCTATATCAAATTTTAATTTGTACCTAATACATGGTAGATATTTGAGGATCTAAGTATACCTTTGCATATGAATATCATGAGATTAAATTGTTACTCTGAGCTTTCCTCTTGTGTAACATCTGCCATAAACCTACCACGCTGTATTCTGTATATTGGACCTGTATTTGAACCGTCACAACTAAGAGTGAGCTACCCTTTGTCTCCATAAAGCTCTCAGTTGGAGACTTAAACAAGACTTAGCATGTTTAGCCAGATGTGTGGGTTAAAGGGACTGTTCATCATGAGCCCCCGGGGTGTCAGAAAGGAAGCCGGTTGAAAGCGGACCACAGCCACCATTAAGTATACCTTAATATGGAAGTATACCTTCATGGGCGTGGGTGCCCATGAAGCTGCCGCCGTGAACCTCTCTCTTTGGAGTGCTTCCTTAGCTGGTCACAGGCGAAGAGATTGGCAGCTGATGCTTGCACAGAGCGCTGTGTGGACGTGTCCCTTCTGAAGGGAGTGCGAAGCTGTCCTCAGGAGAAGATGCTTAGGAGTCCTGGCTGAGGCTCATGCTACCCAGGGAGATCATAAAGCAGACCTGCCCTCCACAGTGATGGCAGAGCCTTTCTTGGAAGCCTAATGCCTCTGACCTCTGGGTTGTCCAGCACCCTCCAGCTCCCCACCTTAGCCTCCTGAGTTGAGTAGATGCTTGGTGAACAAAGAATAGTTGCTTACCTGTCGTGAAGACGATTTGTTAATTGGATCAAGGCTTGACACGTTTTCACTTTGCATTTGTGTATTTAAAAACAAAATCCAAAAAGACTGGAAGGCAGATTAAATGCAGTCCCCTCTGCTGTCCTGGGAGGCCGCAGGTGAGGGGTTCAGTAACTGGACTTTGTCTGCAAGCTCCCTTGGGAAAGGCAATTAATCATAGGCATGAGGCTCTGTCTCTTTTTGCCTGTCTTTTGCATTTTGTGTCCGGGCTTATCTTCCACTGTTATTTTTTCAGGTATTAAGGAAGTTATTTTCATGTCGGATAAATACCACGACAGCGAAGAGACAACGGCCGCTAGGCTCATGTTTGAACTGGCTGGGGTTACGTTCAGGTAGGTTGGGGACTGGCGTAAACATGTATGCGGCCCGCCCTGAAGTCTCCACGCGAGCCAGTGTCTTTGGAAATGTGACGGCATGTTCCTCTAAAGATTATTTTAGGTACGGAGTATTGACAAAAATATCTGGAGACGGCCTGTTTAATGGTTATATTTTAATATTAGTGACTTGCTAAGGCTTAGACTAATTACGCAAGTGGCGAGAAATTTAAAAATTCACAACTTTTGTGCTAGTCCTGCCAAGCCTTTATAAATTTTGCATACGTAAGGGCTCTGGTGGAGATCGCTTAGGATGAAAGCAGCCCGCCAGGGTGAGACACTAGGAATTCTTCTCTGAGCAGCGTTTTGAATTAAGAGCAGAAGCCCTTCCGACTGCTATGATCATCTCTGCAGAGGGGGGGATTATGTTTTACTTGTACGTTTTGCCATCTCTTATGAGCAGCGGGAAATGGTTGCTTGAATGGGGAGCTCTACAAAGCGTTGCCGCATCTCTGGCCAGCGGGGATAAGACCCGTATGATGGGCGACCTGCCCCATTCATGGCATTCTTAGAGATGTTCAATATTTTATTTGTTTTCTGAGACCGGGCCTCTGTATGAGTAGGCTGCCCCTGGGCTTGCCTTCTGCCTCAGTTTCCCCAAGTGACACCACCCACCATGCCCAGTTGGAAACACTATGTTTTTTTTTTTTTGCATGATGCATGTCTTGAATTATTGTACCTTATGTACCCTAGTTTGCTTTCTATTGCTTTGATTAACCCCTGACTGAAGCTAACTTGGGGAGCAAAGGCTTTGTTTGGTTTATGGGTTATATATAGTCTAGCATCCTGGAAGCCAGGGCAGGAAGTAAAGTCTACCTGGAGGCAGGAACTGAAGCGGAGACCATGGAGGACCAGTGCGTACCTGCGCTCTTGTTTCTTTTAAAAGCCCCTAAGTATCTTATAGTAAGTTATGGTAGACGTGTTGAATATGAAAATGTAAAAGACTTATTATTTGCTTCTGTAGAGCTTGGTTTAGAAAAATCTCCCCTTCCTTCAGTGAGCTAGCTGTCTTTGCAGAAGAAAGTGTACTGTGTTTGCTTTGGAGCGACTCTAGTTGGCTGCAGAGATTTCCTAGGGAAATGAGACAAATAAGACGGGGAAACTGTAATCGGCTATCATGTTGTGCCACTAACTTGTTAGAAACCCTTGGACTCCCGGATAATTCATGAACTTGATAGTTGAAGAACACACGAGCCGAGCCGCCCCCTGCCTCGTTCTTGTCTTAGTCTTGCCTGCCCCGTGTTCTTCTCAGTACGGGGCACTATAATTGGCTCCTGTAGAGATAATCTAGCAAGCAGATATTTCTTCTCTCGGCACTGGAGATACTGTTGAAGCTGAAATCAACAATGACTTTAACTACTTGTCGGATAAATTCCTTCACATACTTTGTTTTTCACGTTTAGGAAATTCACACCGAAGTACAGCAAGATTGTCATTGACTTTGATTCAATTAATAGCCGACCGAACCAGAAGCCTCAGTGAGTTCCGCCTCGGTAAATGCCCCGGAAGAAGGCTCGTCTCCTCTAAGAAGCCGCCGGTGCCTTTCATCTTGACGTTGCACATAACTTTTTAACAGCTGGCGTAGCACACGTAGACATCTAAAGAATATGAAACCTTGAATCTTCCTCACTGTCCCTACCGTTACCTGGATCCACATCTGTTTAAGCTGTGGATTTAGTTTGAATTAGAAACTAAGGGTCTATCCCCGGGGCTGGAGCGAAGTCCTTCCCCATCCACTGCCGGTGTGGCTGGGATGAGGGTTAGGGCAGTTAGGGCAGAGTGCCTGCTCTCTCGTCCACCAAATTCCAGCAGCTGCTCCTCGATGCTACATGGGCTAGGACTTACAAATGATTGCTTGTGTTCTAGCAGGAGTGAGCAGACTCACGGTGATGTCAACATCTGGCCCAGAGGAAGCATACCCTGCCACGCCCTTGGAGAAACAAGCAGGACCCAGTGTGACGGTAGCAGGAAATTTTCTGCTGCGGGGTTGAAGGGAGCTGTCATCCAACCCACCTACCCAGGGAAGGGTGAGGACGGCCCATGTCCTGGCAGATGATCAGTTCTTGCTTTCCCGCCACACACACAGTGGTGGCACGCCGTCCCTCTGGAGGGTAGCGACCCCTGTGGCTCCAGCTTCTCATCCTTGGTTTGTTGGTCATGTAGCACTGTTAAATCAATCTGAGTGATGAGTGGCTCTCCAGGAGGCAGCCTATCACTCCCCCTAGACCAGCTGTTGGTGACAGCTGGAGTTGTATGGCTGGGTGGTGTAGGGCATCCCCGCCCCCTCCCCATCCCGTTTCCCCTGCTGTGTGGGAACATCACTGCTCCACGTGCCAACATGGTTCATTTCCAAGGGCACCCTACAACCAGAGGGTACATTAATTCCTGTCCCGTAAGAGAAGTGTGTGTTTACCTATACCTAGCGGTCGTCCATTCCAACCCGCTGGGGATTGTGCCCCGTTTGTATCTTCAGCCACGCAGGAGGCGTCTCCTTCATCCGTGCGGTTGGGGGAATGTTCCGCTGTGTGCTTTGTTTTCAATTTCATCTAACTTCTTTTAAACATGCTCAGTGTTCTTGACTAAAATGGTTTCTTTTAGGGTACTCTTACTTTTTCATGGGTCTTGATTTTGTCCCGGAGATTTTTCTTTTGTTTGTTTTTTACTCTGTGTTATGGGGCCTTTTGTAATTTGACTCTTTACCAATATTATTAAAATTTTAATAAAATCTACCAACACTAAAACATGATCGTTTTTATGTTATATATGCTCAGCTCTGCCTGTATTTTTCTTTACTGTCTGCAAAGCACATTACACAGGTTTGTACTCAGAGAATATCTGAACTGTTAATGCCATGTTCTTTCCAGGATCAGGGATGGGGATGCTTTTTTTTTTTTAAGACAGTATATAGTCTTCTAAAATTGTGGGGGAGGGGTCAGTGTGTACAATGCCACAGTGCACACGTAGGGGTAGAAAAGAACTTCTTGGCCATCGGTTCTTTGTGTCTACCTAGCTCTGAGGCAGGCATTTCTCTTGTCCTTGTCACGGCTCTGCATACCTCTGGAGCTTTGCACATGTGCATGACTGTCACCTTCAGCTTTTTGCATGAGTTCAAGGGCTTGAACTCGGGCTCAAGCAGAGCGTGTTTTTACCAACTGAGCCATCTCCCTGGTCTCTGGTTCTCTTTTTATGACTGGATTTCAGTGGTAGGAAAAGCTCTGTTGCTACCTGGCTTCCATGCCTGTCTCTGGGTAGCCCATCTGATCTTCCTTTCTGTCATACTTCAGGCGCCAAGCCCTACCACTCTCCCTTTTCTCCACGACCTGCTTTCTTTTTTTCTTCAGTGGATTGCTCTTCTTCAAACCCCTTGCCCTTGGTTTGCTCTTATTTATTTACAACCAAAGGAAAGTAGAAGAAATCAGAGAGGAGACAAAGATGGAATACATGTCTAGTTTTCTGTTGCTACAAGTTAAAAGTCCCGTTTGCAGCTAGGTCTAGGGGCTAATAATCATTTACTTAATTTTGGTGTTGTGCTATGTTTTTTTATCTCAGTTACATTGAATTGCAGTGAAAAACCACATTTTTCTTTTCCTCTCGGAAAGAAGGTAGTGACAGGCAGTGGCTGGGTTGCTTGTAGGGTGATAATGCCGTAGATGTAGGTACACAAGTCTCTGCCTCTGGACCCTTGCTGAGCCTGGGTTCCTGATGACTGGATTGTAGGTAATTATGTCTTGGTTTCTGCCGTCACTCCAGGAGGAGTGGAATTGTCCTGTCCAGAGGATTCTGCAGATGTCAGGGCTCTGGCTAATAGAGGGGCGCTTTGAACTGTTGCCTTTGGGGAGAACATTCCAGAAGGAGGGTGTTCTGAGCACTCCTTTGCCTTGCAGGCATTGCTGGGTAATTGTGGCAAAGGGAGACCGTACCTGAGAGCTGTGGTGGCTGCTGTCATGGCTAATCAAGGACAAGGAGGAAACCATCTTTTGCTGAAAGGTGAAAGTTAGAGCCACATGATAGGAACTGTTTTCCTGACATTTTAAACATCCCCTCCCCCCTTTTGCACTTGTTCCTTAAAGACTTCCAAAGTCCAGCAAGACCTGACAATGAAAATGACCTAACTTATTAGTCGTCTTTCCTAATGACATATGAAGCAAAATAAGGCAAGCAGAGACACAGAAAAGTCTCATTAATAAAAACAGATTCCTGTCTCCAGTAATCTGAAATTCTGATGTGTTAGGGGTAACGCGTCATCTTCCAATGTCTATATATACCAGAGGGTTAAAAATTTTAGGATCAAGCCAAATATAGAGGCAGACCTATAATCGCAGCACTTGGGAGGTAGAGGCAGGAATATGACAGGTTCAGGTCCACCCTGTGCTAAACAGACTAAAAGTTTTTTGCTGGTGCATGCCTTTAGTCTCAGCACTCAGGAGGCAGACACAGGCAGATCTCTTGAGTTCGAGGCCAGCCTGGTCTACAGAGCGAGTTCCAGGCCAACCAAGGCTACACAGAGAAACCCTGTCTGGGGCAGGGTGGATGATAAATTCTTGCAAAGGTGTCCAAGGAATTCAGGAAGATTGTCTTGCTTTTGGTACAGAATTCTCCTGTGGTGGGTTGTGGTACTTAACATAGTGCCTTCAGGATCCCTCTGTTGTAGCCTGTGTTACAGTGTTCTCTCTTCTGCAGGCTGAAGAGCATCCTCTTGTAAACACGCCACATCTTGTCATCGATTCATCCACCAATAGATGCTTAGGTTGTTGTTCTTTTGGCTACTGTTCTCTTGTGTTCCCCGTTTACCTGTGCTGTCATCCTCAGCCCTGAGCACCTGCGCTCCCCACCACCACCCCATCCCCGCCCCATAATCTCTGCTAAAGACTTTTCAAGCCAGCCTTTTCCCCTTTATATTTTGTTACTGTTTTGAGACAGGGCTTCATGTGGAAATTGCTATGTAACCCCAGCTGTCCTCCAGCTCTAAACCCTGCTGCCATGGCTTCCTGAGTGCTAGGATTCTAGGGATGTATCACCACACCTGAGTCTTTCTGTGTAAGTATTGTGTACACGTGTGTGCATGTGTGTGCCGTCATGGTTGCCTGTGCATGTGTGTGCAGGGCACAAAAGTCGGTGTTAGATATCTTTCTTTACTATTCTCCACTTTATTCTTTGTGTCAGGGGTTCTGGCTGAGCTAGAACACAGCTGTTTCAGCTAGACCGGCTAGCCAGCAAGCCTCCTAGATACCTCGTCTCCACTCCGCTGATTCGGCTAGGGGGATACAGGCATGTCCCCACCATACCTAGACTTTGGGGGTCGGTTGCAGACTAGTCCTCATGCTCACACTGTGGGTACTCTCCCTCCCCACTGGTGATCTTCTGAACCCAACATCTGGCTTTTAAACCAGCATCTTGTTGACTCTCAATCCATGTCCTTTGACAATTCACACCCTTCTGGACAACTTTCAGGACTGAGCTGGGGTCCTTCCTGTCTTCTCTCTGTATCCCTCAGACTTTTTCCTCATTGAAGCCTTGCCACAGAGAGTGCCACCAACAGCCTTCCTGGTAAAGAACCTTGCTCTGTTTTATGACATCTCTTCCACTGTCTGGAAATGTTATTGAAACATTTCACTTCGTGTTTGTCTCTTCCTGCCTTAACTACATGGTAAAGGCCACAAGAAGACACACATTGCCTTGCCGTGCCCAAACCCCTTCTCCTTGCCATGGCGTACACAGTTTAATCCATGTTTTTTAACATTTCTACTTAAAAGTCATGAGCCTGATCACACTTCCGCTAAGCAGAGCAGCTGTTCAGGAGCCAGCCGACTTCCTTGTGAATGGCTTGTGGGGAAAAACAAAAAAAAAAACAAAAAACAAAAAAAAAAAACCAATTGTCATTTAGAATATAAGAGAAAGAAATCTCCCTGTTAGCATCTGGGGTTAATGGGCACATTTATCTTTGGGAGAGAAGGGAGATTACTATTTAAATGTCTTATTTTTAACTTGTGTGTTTGAGTTAAAGCGCTCTTATATATGGTTTTGAATTAGGAACCTGGCAGTGATGGATGCTTTTGGCAGAGTACCCAGAATGATGTTTGTGCTGAAACCCGTCTGATTGAAAGCCCCCTTAACCTTCCAGCCCTAAATCACTGCAGAACACTTACTGTCGCGTGGCTCTTAATTTTAACTTTTGTTAGTGAAAATGATTGCGTCTTGGCATTGTTTAAGAATTTAAGGGTGTCATCTGGTCCAGGTTTTAAGTAGGCATTTTGTTTGGTTGGGAGTCACTTCATCTGCACGGTGCTGTGTGGCCCGATTCTTGCTTTATTTCTCCTGCCTTTTCCTGAATGAGGAGGCATCGGTGACGGGTGCAGCTGTACACAGCAGTCACCCGACTCAGTGGCTTGAGCGGTGGGACACGCTTCCTGCACATAATAGGAAGTGCAGCTTTGTGTGTTGACTAGATGGAAGTGGGCCAGGGGCCCAATATGGCAACAACGATCTAGGCTGTTCCCCTTAATTTTGTCTTCACTGGCATTTACTTGATATCAAGCTTGTTTTGTAGAGTTCGGGTATCTCAGTCACTTTAAATGCAAGAATCTGAGGTGTGTATGTTGAATGTGTGTGTGTGTGTGTGTGTGTGTGTGTGTGTGTGAGAGAGAGAGAGAGAGAGAGAGAGAGAGAGAGAGAGGGCGTGCATGGTAGTAGTACATGGTAGTTAAGATTCCCATCTCTTATGTGTCCCTTTGGTCAGAAAAGTAAAACTTCCCCAGGACCCCTCAGCCAATACTCTCTTTCATCTCATTGGTCATAGCTGGTTTACATGACTACTCCTAGCTGCAAGGGAAGCTGCAAGAGTACTCAGCATTCAAAGCTCTTATCATGGAGGCTGCGTGGAAAAGGAGGTGAATAACAGCTGTAAGTCATGGTAATAGCTGCTGCATATCATTTCACGGAAAACTGGGTGGCAGTCTGATTATATAACCTCTATCCAGCTTCTCTTCACAGCCTCGTATTTAAAGTCTTTGTTGAGATGAAAAAAAAATGACACTATTTTATAAGTTTTTTGTATACTTTACATTAACTTTCAAACTCCTCTTTGGAAAACTTTATTAATTTTTTTTATTTAGATTATCATAGGAATTTTACACAGAGAGATACAACACTTTTTTGGGGGGAATTGGAGTTACATCATAGCCTTTGTTCCCCAAATACTTAGAGTTTGTTTCCTAAGAACAGAACTGGGGCTATTGGGCTGAAAAGATGGCTCAACAGTTAAGAGCACTGGCTGCTCTTGTAGAAAATCCAGGTTCAATTCCCAGTACCCACATATGAGCTCAAGATTGTCACTCCAGTTCCAGGGGATCCCATACCCTCACACAGACATTCATGCAGGCAAAACACCAATGCACATTTAAAAAAAATACATAAATTTAAAAAAAAAGGAGAGGAATATTTTCAGGCATCATCACAGTGTGTTTATTGACTTTATAAATTTGAGCAAATAATTTTCTTTGTAGCACTTCCAAAGTAAAGTCTCATCTAGGGCTTAGTGTTGCCCTTATTGTCATGTCTCTTTAGCCTCTTTAATATAGGACATTCCCACGGGGGGTGTTGATTCTTCAGAAAACTGCTTTCTCCTGTTCCCTGTATGCTCAAATCCCTTGGAATCAGCAGTTTTCAAACTTTTAGTCTCACGGTCCCTTTACACTCTTAAAAATTATTGAAAATACCAGTGGACTTTTGTTTATAT